GTTTACAGATAATCAGATGAGATAATATATGCAGAGTTTTAGAAAATTCCTCACATAGAGTAAGCACTCAATAAAGCTTGTTGCTCCTAAGTTAAGTACCATTAAGTTGATTCCAGCTCATAAAGACCGTGTAGGACAGAGAAAGAACTACCCTTGGGCTTCCTGGGCTGCAATCTTTATGGGAGCAGATAGCCAGGCCTTTATCCTGCAGAGTGCCTGGCAGATTTGAACCACCGCCTTTTCAGTTAGTAGCTGAGCATCTACACATTGCACCATGACACCTTCACTAAATGCTAAGAGTATCCATGACTCTTAAAACCTAAAAGTGTTTACATCTCTTTTACATATGATATCACACTGCACTAAGTATAATGGGAGTGAAAATCATAACAACCCCACCCATCTACAATATCTGTCTTGAAAACTCTTCGTCCTCCTCAAGCTCTTGAGAAGCTGGTATTAAAAACAACCCTTCCAACTTACACACATGCCATGACTCTATAATGGAAGAAGTAGTTACTCTTCTATTTCCAAATGCTCCATTTTCTACCTTTCTCCTCATTCCTTCTCCACCCTGTGACACAACCGTGGCATGGAATATAGTTGCAATAGGTAATCCAAAGGTATGGTTAATATATCAGGGCCTGTGGTTACATCACATTAACTGCACATGCCATTGGGCTTTATGGTCTGACTACCCACATTCTCCTTCCTCATTCTCCAAAAAAGGAATCTAGAATTCCTTTTCTACCAAGACAGGGATTGTATGTAGTCTATAGTAGCTAAACCCTGAAAGAGCAGAGATTCCTGGGAATACTGCCAGAACATCACGTTGAGGCTCTGAATTCTCATTCTCACAATGTTATATGAGGGGGTGCCCCCTAAAAAAAATGGAATCACCCTGGGCAGGGCAGAGCTTTCATAGTACACATTTTTCCCACTAGGTGAGCATCAAACAACTCACTCTAAGTTAGTGCACCCAGTGGCATCATCTGGAAAGGTTCTCTCTGACAACAGTGAAATTTTTTATAAAAGTAGTTTCACTTGAACCTTGTTTTTTGTGATGGCCAATTTAAGAGGACAGTGTGTGGCTATGAAATTTTGTTTCCTGCTTGAGAAAAATACCGCAGAAACTCTTGTGATGTTGAACACAGCTTACAAGGATAACGCTATGGAAAAAACTCAAGTGTATGAGGGGTTTTCTGTTTTCAAAAAAAGGTTAATTATTAATTGATGACAAACCTCATTCTGGATATCTGTCAACTTCCCAAACAGATGAAAATGTAGACTCGTAGTGCAGTTAGAGTTCATTCCACCAGGTCAGACAATTAATCAAGCTTTCTATTTAGAGGTTTTGAAAAGATGGCATAATACTATGTGACAAAAAAAAAGGCTTGGTTTGTGGCAGATGGGGGATTGGTTTTGCCACTACACTAATGCACCTGCTCACGCAGCCATCTCAGTACACCAGTTTGGGGTAAAATTCAGTATGCTTCTCTTGCCCCATGCACCTTACTCGCCTGATCTAGTACTCTGTGTGACTTTTTCTCCCCTGCAAATAAAGAAGGACATGAAAGGACAGCAATTTGATGACATAGAAGAGGTGAAGAAAAAAACGAGGGAGGTGCTAGATAGAGCCAACCAAACAGATGAGCTTGAAAAATATTTCCAAGAATGGAATCGCAGATTTGACAAATATATTAAGAGGAATGGAAAGTACTTTTAAGTGGTCTCCATTTGTTAAAAAAGAAAGAAAGAAGGAAAGAAAAGAAACTTAAATACATAGTTTTGGGGGGAAAATTCCAGTTATTTGGGGGTACCCCCTCATATATTCTAGAGTATATCTTTGGGACTTTCTGTGTCTTTTGTTTCTATACCCTTAATTCTGTGGTATCACTACCTAGTGTACAAATTCACTGCCTAAAAAGAGAGTAAATGGGAAAATCTAGATGGAGAAAAAAATAGGAACTTTATGGGACTCATATGAATGAAATGTAATTCTAATGAATGATTACTGGCTCATTTTCCTTCCTATCTATTTTTATACTGATCTTGATCCTTGAAGTCTTTTATCAGTTAAAAAAATCAAGGAGAGAAAACTCATTAGTCAAACTGTAGTGTTCTGAGCATGAGAACTATGACAATAAATAAAAGGCAAACTCTGCACTGAAAAATACTGCACAAGCGCAAAAAGATTCTTTAGGAAGTAGAAATACTCAATCAGCACTGAATATTAATAAAGCTAAAGTGATTTCCCGTGTGGACCAGGCCAGGCGGGAGCAGAGGTGGGGTGGGTCGGTGGGGGAAATAGGTCACATTTGAGGACTGTTATGTGCATTCCAAAAGCAGTGTAACAACATGATCAGTATTCCCTCCAGGCTCCTCCCACCTGCCATGGCCTCCACGTTATTTTCAGAGATCTGAATACATCTGGTCGACTGCACAATCTCCATAATCCTCACGTGGTTTCTTCCAACATTATCCTGATAGCCCAACCTTTTTTGGCTTTTTGTCCATCTGTTTGTTTTTCCTGCCCAAGACCACCTACCTCATTCTAGATTATAAGAATACTATTACTTACCTCAGAGACCCCACCCTAATAAAGAGCTAAGGGAGGGAGGGGAAACCTAATACTTTCTGGCATATAAGTGCATTATATGTAATATCTCTCTACTCCACAACAACCCCCAAAACAAAACTCAAGCCAACTACTGTCTAGTTGATTACAACTCATGGTTATCCCATGTATTACATAGTAGCACTGTGCTTTTAATGGACTTTTCAAGGCTATAATCTTTGGAAGCACATCACCAAGGCCGCTCTTCAAAGTGCTTTTGGATAAGTTCAAACCTTCAACTTTTCAGTTAGTAGTCAAGCACTTAATAGCCCCATTTGGGGAGCAGTCTTTCATCATTCCAGATACAACATCTAAGTCTTAGGTAAATTACTTGTTCAAGATGATTCTACTGGTAAGTACTAGAAACTTGCTGAAAGTTGGAACACCTATCTGATCCCAAAATTTGCCCATTCACTCTACACTATATGACTTCTGAGAGGTCCTAGTGGCTTAGTGGGTTAATCATTGGTCTATTAACCATTAGTCAGCAGTTTGAAACCAACAGTCACTCTGCAGGAGAAGGAAGAGGCTTTCTACCCCTGTAAAGACGTATAGACTCAGCAACCTACAGGGGTGGTTCTATTTTGCATTGTAAGGTCACTATGAGTCAGAAGACACTTGACGGTAGAGAGGGGTTTTTTTGTTGTTGTTTGTTTGCTTTTTGTTTTGTTTTTTATGCTGATTTCACGGGGAACACATTCAAGAAAACCCAAGGAAAGTCGGGATTCTTTGGAAATATTTAGTATTTCTTAGGATTATGTGTCCATAAGGAAGCGTAAAGGTGATCTTCTGTATGAACAAAGGGCGAAGTATTTGGAATGATATAAGTTGACTATTTCACTGTCAACATGCCCCCCCAAAAAAAAAACAAGATCATCTAAAAGTGATAGAAAATAAGTAAGTATTCAAAGTTCTTTCAATTTTTTAAGTCAAGTGGTTAAGATGCAGAGATGTCTGAATGAGGCAAGAATTAAATGGGATTCATAGAGCCCTGGTACTCACAGCTTCCAATATTAACTATTGGATGTGAACCTTTCTGTGCATTCTATACACAGGAAGACTAGAAAGGGAAAACATGAAATTTGGAGATCAATCGTAATAAAAATAAAAGTTATGCTATCAGTATAAGAAATTGGGTCAAACTAATAAGTTCTTCCTTCAATCTAGGATTCCAACTCATCCAAATGATATAAAAACAAACATAAAACGAGGATAAATATGATCAGAAGATGACTAAGAGATATTTTTCAGTCTAATTTGGCTTAGTTAAGAAAAAGAGTGCCTATAGGAAAATGTGGGTGAAATGGGTTAAGCATCCAAATAAATCTTTCCTTGTAATAAAATCCTGGGCAATCTCCTTGACTAAAATTCTTGGTTTGACCAAGGAGTAGCTTCATGCAATCTACACGTAGTCTTCATACAATCTATATAGCAAAAATATAGCCTCCCAAGGAGCCTAAAGGAAACTTTAAATCATCTCATGATCAGCTTTGGAAACAGTGGTGTTTTTGTTTTGTTTTGTTTTGTTTTTTCAGGTTTCCTGTTCTGCTATCATAAATGAAAACAGAATTCTTTTTATTCAAAAACTCTTATTTTTCTGTGTAGTTGTAACTTGCTTTTAGTTGGAGGTTAGAGGACCAAAAAAATAAGCTCTTTATGCTAGATATCAAAAAAAGGCATTTACAGGAGTTATTCCTTCGCTACAATGGTTCTAACCTTCCTAATGCCGCAACCCTTTAATACAGTTCCTCATGTTGTGGGGAGCCCCAATCATAAAATTATTTTCGTTACTACTTCATAACTGTAATTTTGCTACTGTTATGAATCAGGTGACCCCTGTGAAAGGGTCGTTCAACCCCCAAAGGGGTTGCGATCCACAAGTTGAGACCTACCCTCTGCTTTGCTAGATTAAGCAAGTGAGCCACAATTTGCTAATTATAAGGAGTCCTCGTGGCAAGCTTATCTTTTCCATTATATGCTGGCCAGCTACCAGATTGAACCACTTTCCTGTCTCTTGTTCTCCTCCCATTAGCTACAGCAATGTTTCTCTGTGGACCACAAGTCTTCTACCCAGGAGAGCATACAGCAAGGTAACACCACATCCACAGATGCCACTGGCTATTTTAAAACAGACAGGCAAAAACAGAAGATGAGAAGTGCAGCAGCAAAGAGGAGAAAGAACAACAACAACAACAAAAGATGGCAAAAGTCAGGAAGGAGGAAGAAAAGCCGAAAAAAGACATAGCAATGAGAGGAGGAACTACCTGTATGGAGAAGTAGAATCAGCCTCCCACCAGCACATGAGAACTGCGTTGGCTACCTTTTGCCTGCTCCTAATCTCACTCGCTAGAGGGAGTGACTGAAACGCCACATATGCCATTACCTGGATGAGCTCGTCCAGCTCAGTTGAGTTGACACAAGAGTGTTCGGATATGAACGTTTGCTTCTGGATCACAATGGCGGTCCTCTGTGAAATCTCCTGAGGCTGCTCCAATGCTTTGAACACGGTGGCTCCAATGATGAGATAGAGGACCACCACCAGGAAAATCGTGGAGACTGTCTTCCATTTCATAACATTAATGGTCGTGTCACTCTCCACTCGGGAAGCAAGCACTGTGGGTTTCGTGGAAAACGAGAGCCGTGGTTTGGAGTTCTGAGTGGCAGATTTAGGATCCAGCAAGTCAGGTGCCGCCACTGACAACAAAAGAGAAGGAAGGTTAGGTTGGGAGAAATTTGAGAGGCATTGGTTGAAGGTCAGAAAAGAGGGTCTTAGCGCCACTGGCTCTCTTGAATGAAGCTCGAGAGCCTAACCCAGCTCATTCTGAATCTCAGCCAGGCCCCATAGATATGGAATAAATGAAAGGGGGCGGGGTCTTCACTCTGCTGCTATTGGGGCTTCCAAGGGGAAGGAGAAAACAGGAGGCAGACCAAGAAACTTCAAAAAACATGAGGTTTCCTGATTAATTCCTGAAAAGAAAGAAAGAAAGAAAGAAAGAAAGAAAGAAAGAAAGAAAGAAAGAAAGAAAGAAAGAAAGAAAGGGATCATTCTTAGTCTGTCCACAAAACTAGTCAACAAATTCTTACTGAACCCCTAAAGGTTAATGGTACTAAACTAGATATTTGAATCCTCATGAAGAATACTTATGGTTTGTCATGGTCTCAAGAAATTTACAGTTCACACCACAAGCAACTAATATGTTTTCTGTTTGTTTTAAAATTCATAAGAGAATTGTACATGCGTTGGTGGTACAAATATTGTTGCATAAAGGTCATCGCTGGTCATTTTCTGGCAAAGCATGATGATAAGCATAGCATTCAATGGCCCAATCACATATTTTTGCCTATCTTTCACTGTGGGATCATGATTAAGCCTTCGCTTAATTTCATTAGTCAATCTCTGATATGTTTTAAAAATAAGTTATTACTACCTATTGTGACACAACCCTAAGTATAATCCAAAAATGACAGGTCTTTGCACTTTGACAATGAACAATTACCAAGAAAATTCACTGTTAAACCTTAGCTCATACCTTAGACCTTACATACTCTAAGCACAACAAATTGCTCCATTACAGGTGGATTTATATGTTATCTTACAAATTTCCATGTACTCTGAGGTGGCGCCATATCCATTTATTATTATTCATTTCAGCTCTCCAAAAATATCATTAATGGATTTTCTATGAAACAAAAGAGATGCTAAACTCACTCTTGATAAGGATAAAATAAGCTACCAAATATAGAGCATTTGATTGTAATGGCAATATTGACTTGAAAGGGTTAACAGAGTGACCATAAAAACAGGCAGTCAGAAACCATCAGCTCAATCAAGTATAATCAATTTAGAGGCTGCTATATATATAGTTAAAATTACTGCAGTATACAACAGAGGTTTTCTAAAAGGAGTACTGGTGTAAAAGACACCATTAGGTAATGTAAGCAATCTCCCATGGGACTGCACCCAAGTATCATGAGTCAGCATCAACTCAATGGCAGTGAGGTTGGTTGGGTTATCCTAACCTCACAACCAAGCCCACTTGGGGGCTGTTGAAGTGGTCCCAATTCATATCAACCCTATAAAATATATAGAACTGCCCTCAGGATTTCCAAGACTGTAAATCTTTATGGAAGTCAACTGCCACATCTTTCTCTCAGAAAGCACAGAGAGAGGTTTGTGGGTTCGAACTGTCAATTGATTGGCAGCTGAGCCATTCACTACTGCGACACCAGGATGGCACATATCCTGAAATTGCTTGAGGTGTAGAATAACTGAGTTCCTAAATGATAGCAGGTGACAGAGGGCTCGCTCCTCAACCAGCAAAGCAAAGGAAGGTTCTGACTCAGAGGAGATGAAGTCGGAGATCGCCAGTGGAGGTTCTGCAGAAGTGCTGCTCAGGCCCACCGTTTCCTGTGGGTCAACCTAGGACGCACAGGTGTGCACAGTTCCCTCCTGATACCCACTCATCTCTCGGAGAACAGCCACAAGCGTGTGGACGGGCACAGCTTTAAAACGGACTATTAATACAGTAACTGCACTCCAAAGGTGCCTCTGCATGTATTTTGAATGCTAGGGTTTACATTTCTTTTTACATTTTTTGTCATAGGAATGCTAGTGATATCTAAAGATCATTTTTATCTACAGCCTCCCCTCCACCCCAAACCCAACCTGCTGAATGAATCAAAGTGAAAACTTTCCATTATAATCTAAAATCGAACCACTATTGGAATGGCATGAGCAGAAAAATCACGTAGACGCTGCACATTCTCTCTCTGGAGAAAGGTCTCTCCTCCCTCTCCATTTCTCTGGGTTCTCATATTTCGGATTTTTTCCTTCAGTGGTTTCTAGTCTGTAGAGTGGGAAACCCCGAGACTGGATATCTTGATGCCTCATTCCTAATCCCAAAGTATTATCTTATGTTTTGGGGGGTAAGGATAGGTAGATAGATAGATGATAGAGACAGATGGTAGGTAGGTAGATAGATAGATAGATAGATAGATAGATAGATAGATAGATAGATAGATAGATAGATAGATAGATAGATGCATATACACAAATCTTACATTTTCTGATGGAATTTAATTCTTTCAAGATCTCGTTATTTTTTTAATTAGCTGAAATACATATAATGCTGATTTGGCAGGCAGAATGGGCACAAAATCTGGTGAAATAGCAATATTACAAAGAAAACAAACAGACCGAGCCTTTCCCTCTGGAGCTAATAAGAGCAATCCCCGGGTTTCCATGCCCTGCCACCTCTTCGGAGGCGGAGGCGCAGTGAGACAATTTCCTTGGCACAAGGCTCGAGATCCGTCCCTTCCACCACACTGGGCTCCACTACTGCCCACCACCCTCCTCCAGCGCCAGCGCACCGCGGGCTCATCTGACCCCTGGGCTCCAGTCCTCACCCAGGTACGAGTCTCCTTTGCTCCTGGCCGCGCCTGGCGACCGGATCCTGAAGGCGTTTTTCAGCACCACTGCCTGTCCCACCACACAACGGGGCAACAAGTGTGATGGGGTCACCAAGCGTCCGTTACTCCCAAGGGCTGGCCTGCCTCCTCCGGGGGAAACTCCCTCCAGGTGTTCCAAACACACACCCAAGGCCGATGCCAAAACCCAAACCCAAAACACCACCCAGGGCGAGCAGCAAAGCTAGGAAGCGGCCAGGCGACGATTAGGAAATCGCGCGGCTCCCCATCCCCGATTTTCCACCGCACACCTCAGCCGAGCGACGGAGGCTGAACGCGCCCGGAGGTTCGAGCGCAGGGTCTGCCCCCCTCCAGGGACCGTCGGGGGCTGCGAGCGCCGGTCGGCTCGGAGGCAGCAGGGGGAGGGGTGCCGGGGGTCTCACCTCCTGCTCTATAGCCGCGTCCCTCCCGCGAGGCGCTGGGAAGCATGAGGCATGCAGCATTCAAAAATGCTTTTGGGGGGAGGCAAAAAAAAAAAAAAA